AACGAGAGGCAAACGTGGACATTGGACTGCCGGGAAATGAGTTGGGGGAAGTAGCGATGGGGAACAAAGAAGTGGCAGAGGAACTGAACAGGTACTTTACAACAGTTTCCACAATGAAAGACACTAGTAGCATACCAGAACTTCATGTGAGTCAAGAGGCAGAGGTGAGTAGAGTAGCCAGCACTAAGTAGAAGGTACTGGGGAAGCTGAAAGGTCTGAAGGTGAACAAAACCACCCAGATCAGATAGAGAAGATAGCTGAGGAGATAATGGAATCATTGGAGTGAGGGATGGTCCCAGAGGATGGAAAATGTCTAATCTAAGACAGTAGACTTGAGGTCTATTAGCCTGACTTTAGTTGTTGTTAAGATTAAGAATCCATTGTTAAGGATGAAATTGGATGACTTGTAATTGTATGGTAAAATAGGGCTAGACCAGCATGGCTTTATCAAGGGGCAATCATGCCTGAAAAATTTGTTAGAATTCTTTTGAAGAACAAGTGAGACAAAGGAAAGCCAGTGGATATGATCTCTTTGGATTTCCAGGAGGCTGCTAAATAAGATAAGAGCCTATGGTGCTAGGGGCAAGGTACTGGCATGGATAAAAGATTGGCTGACTGGCAGAAGGCAGAAAATGGGGATTGTACAGCTCTTTTTAAGGATGGCAGCTGGTGACTAGTGGGGTTTCGCAGGGGTCCGTGTTGGGATAAGAGCTATTCATGTTGTACATTAATGATGTGGATGAAGGAGCTGAGGACGTTGTTGCTATGTTTGCAGATGACACTAAGATATGTGGAAGGACAGGTAGTGTTGAGGAAGTGGGGAGGCTGCAGAATGACTTGGACAGGCTGGGAGAGTGGGCTGAGAAGTGGCAGATGGAAAGTACGAGGTTATGCTCTTCAGTAACTGCTCTCTGGGCAGTTAGGGATGGGCAATAAATGCTCCCTAGCCGGTGACACCCTCATCCCGTGAATGAATAAAGTAGGAAGATTACAGGCATACACTATTTTCCGGATGGTGAAAGGCTTTGATAATCTGAAGCTCCAGCAGATCGTCCAGCCATCCCACAGTAAGGGTGGCATTCACCTGTGAGTTACAGTGACCCAGGTGAAGAGGAAAAGATTTTAACAAACATTACTTATCTAACTATTTCCATTAATGAGTTTTGGGCTATTTGTTCTGCTGCTACCTCATCACCTCTGAATGAAAGGAACGACAGGGCTTGCAAGTAACAAACTCCAATGTGTGTTTTGCAGGCCTGTCTAGTTGTCAAGTATAAAAGAATTACTGGTAGTTATAAACATTAGATTACCTGTAGAGAGTGACATTAATGTGTCCTGGGAGTTCATAGAGTACTTATGCAAAGTGACAGTGTATTTTCAGAGCTGCAATTTCCTAACTGATTGCCCTTCGTTGTTCACTTGACAGTAATAGTCGTGAGCTCAGTCTGTATATGATATAGACTAAAGCAAATAATATGGAAAACAACAGAAAGGCATAAACAAGCTTGGAGGTTGGTTGAAAGACAATTAATAAGTGAAATTTAGGAAAGAGGGGTATGGTGTATATTGCTAAATGATAAAAGGAGGTGACTATGGAATGTTAAATAATTGGTGTAGAGTGGCAAGGAGATACTGCAATAAAACAATATAACTGGTTAAGTTGCTAAGTGTAGCAGTCCAGGGGCTTGGCAGGGTAAATGACTTATCAGAATTCCAGGCGAGATGCACAAGAAGGAAAAGAAAGGAGATCATGTTAAATTTCTATGGGACCTTATCCAGAAAATACATGAAATGAATACTTGCATCATTCTGCATAAATGCCATTGAGTTGAAGCACTAACCGTTTTACTCTCCAGAGATGTTGTCTGCCCTTCTGAGTAATTCCAGTATTTTCTGTTTTTATTTCAGATTTTTGGCATCAGTAGTATGAGTTGTGTCAGCTTAAAAACAGAAAATACTGTTTTTAAGCTGACACAACTCATACTACTGATGCCAAAAATCTGAAATAAAAACAGAAAATACTGGAAATACTCAGGAGATCAGTCAGCATCTGTGGAAAGAGAAGGAGTTGACTCAGACAATGTTGTTTCATGAGAACTGAGAAAAGTTAAAAATGTAATAGGTTTTCAGCAGGTGAAAGGGAGGGTGGGAAACAAACAAAAAAGAAGATATACGATAGAATGGAAGCCAGGCAAAATTAAATGACAGAACTATTTGTAATACAGAGCCAAAGCGAGTGGAAATGGCAGAAGTAAAGAAGTTATAAACTGGCTACAGGAGGTGTGAACAGCAGAATAAGGAACAGCTGCCATCTGAAGAAAACTATAAACTGTGAAAAAGCAAAAAATAAATTGGGGAGAAAGGTTATGCTCTGAAAATGTTAACCTCAGTGTTGAGTCTGGAAGGCCATTAAAAGGCTGTAAAATTGAAATATGAGGTGCAGTTCCTTAAGTTTATGTTGAATCTCGTTGGAACACTGCAAGAGACTGAGGCTAGGTCAGGGTGAGAAGTGAAAAATTAAAATGACAAGCAACTGGAAGCTCAGGGTCACACTTTTGAACTGAATGGAAATGTTTGGCAAAACAGTCATGCAATCTGCATTTTGTCTCCCCAGTGAAGACTAGACCATATTCTAAACAGCAGATATGGTATGCTACATGAAAGAAGTACATGTAAATCTCTGATCACTTGGTAGGGGTATTGAGAAGGAAGAATGTGAAATGATAGGTGTTCATTTATTTTGCTTGCATGGAAAATTTGGAGATTTTGGAGTATCTGAGAGGTGGACCAGAGGATTGTAGAGGGAACGATTCCTGTGGAAGGGTAAAGGAGGGGAAGATGTGTTTCATGGTGGCAAAAATTATGGACGATGATTGATAGAATACAATGAGGTACAAGATGAAGACATGGGAAGGAAAGGGTGGGAGCAAAATTCTGGAAGGGGGAAAGACATTGTGAAGATCCTGTCAACTGTGGGAAGAATCCTTAGTTTAGCAAAAGGGAAGACATATCAGAAACATTGGAATGAATATTAGTGTCATCAGAATAGATACAACAGCTTTGGATAAACTGGAGGAATAGAATTAAGTCACAGAAAGCAAGGTTTGAGGATGTGTAGTCAAGGTAGCTTTGGGAATCAAAGCGCTTGCAGTGAATATTCATTTATAGCCTATCCCAGAAATGGAGAAATCAAGGAAGGGAAGGAAAGCCTGGGAGAAGGCCCACATGACAAAATGGAAATTGGAAGTTAAGTCAATTGAATGTTTTGGTTTTGAGCAAGAGCAATGAGCTGCACTACTACAGCCATTGATATAACAGGAAAAGAGCAAGAAGATCCTGAATTGGGTGGGAACAAAGAATGTTTCATATATGCAACAAATAGGGAAGTGATAATACTCATAGTGACATATTTTGATGGGGGAAGTGAGTTAAATTAAAGGAGAAGTTGTTCAATGTGAGAAGATGCTCACTCCAGCAGAGGACGACAATATTAGATGAAGACTGATTGAGTGAGCCTTGAATGGCAGAGCTTTTGAATATATCTGTCCTAGGCCCATGCTTTTGTTTTCATCCCTTACCCTCCCTCCCCAAGCTATAACAGTGGCTTTTCTTGCCCTCATCCTCCACCCCTCCAGCTTTTGTGTGTAACACACCATCTTCTGTCATTTCTGCCACTTCCAGAGTGATGTCCCTGTCAAACAGATCTCAACTCATGGCTTGAGCCACAGAATGAAGGTACCAGCATATATTGTGGAAATACTGATTGTCCTGCTGGTCCTGACTCTTCTTGGTAGTTGCCACCTGGTCAATGGAAGCATTTCTGACTAACGTGGAGCTCCAGCTACACTCTTGATACCATCAAGGACCAAACGTTTCTCCTAAATTGACATCCACCATCTTTTAACCTTTATTTCCTTCACCGTAATGTACAGTGGCAGCAGTGTGTGTTACCTGTATTGCAGAAGCTCACAGTCATCTTCCACAGCTCATTTCAAACTTGCAACCTCTAACTCTGAGAAGGACATGGGCAACCTGTAATTTCTCCCCAAGCCACACATCATCCTGACTTGGAACTGTATTGCCATTACTTCACTGTTGCTGGATGGAAATCCTGAACTCCTTTCGCAACAGTACTTTAAGTGTGCCTGTATCACATGGGCTGTAGCAGTTCAAGAAGACCGCTCACTTTCTCAAGGGCAGTCAGGAGAAAGTAATAAATACTGACTTAATCAGTGATGAACATACACATCCCATGAACGAAAACAAAAAAGATTTCAAGTTCTGAAATAATACTCTATGATTATTTTAAGTTGTATTGAGCAGTTTAACCTGTCAAACTATAAATTTAATTTCTGAATTTATATCTCCCCAGTCCTAGTTTTGAGAAAAGAAAACCACTGAGGTCACCAATAAAACACTGAACCACTTAACGAATTGATGATTCTGGACCTCAGCACTCTGGTCTCACTTTCAGATAGTCTCTGGCTCAGACCACTCCTGTCTTGTGAAAGCAGAACAGCACTTCCTCCTCATAATGCCAAATTTCTTCAAGTTAGGAGCTAAGTACTCTGGAGAAGCAGTATTCCATTGAGCAGGCCTCCATGCTACTTCAAGTATATACTTTAGCAGTTCAGGCAATGTATTAATTTAACCTTTAAATAACATTTGTTAATTATGCCTTGTCACTATCCCCACAGCTGTCTTCGCCCAGACTTTGTGAAAAGGATGAACTGCTACATTCTACAAAAAGATCAATCTGCTTCATGTGTTTAAAGTATTTCACTAATTTTCTTCAAATAAGTTCTTACTATATCAAATTACTAATGGAGAAATGCTGTAATATTTCATATAATTACACTTCTGTTTACTTTAGTGAAAGAAATGAGACATAAATATCATTGTAATGAGTACCAAATAGATATTGTAAAGGTAACATCAGGAATACAATCCTTTGAAAAGTGAATGTATCCTTTAAAAGAGCATCTTTTCTTTTCAAACAGGTGAAAGCTACGTTTGTGCATCCAATGAGCCATTTCGTAAAGTAGACTATGCCAAGAATGTTAATCCAAACTGGTCAGTTAATATCAAGGCAGGAACATCCCGCTCTCTCTCATCACTAACATCAAGAGGTGAAGGAAAAGAATCCAAGGATTTTATTAGGCCCAAACTGGTGACTGTTATCCGCAGTGGTGTAAAACCACGGAAAGCTGTAAGGATTCTTCTCAACAAGAAGACAGCACATTCATTTGAGCAGGTGTTAAATGACATTACAGATGCCATAAAGTTGGATTCTGGAGCAGTCAGAAGGCTCTACACACTTGATGGAAAGCAGGTAGGAAATGCTTTGATCTAATTCTTGATCATACAACATTTATAGAGAGTAAAAGTATCAGATGTTCATATTTGTACACCTGCCATGATTAAACTTTGTAACACCATATCTACTATGTTGTCTGAATTTCCAGCTGTTTCTGATAGTACAATCTGTTATGTTTTTTCAAGGCTGCACGCAATTTGTAATACCTTTTTAATTAGTTTATGTGAGGCATCAAAATGAACCTCTAACCTGACGTATTCATTCTGCATCTGATGTTTTGGTAAGAAGTTTTGCTCTGCAGATGCAAGTTTGATAGCCTTCTCACTAGCATATGTTAAAGTTCTTTTAACTTGGCTTCATAAAGGTCAGATGAAGTAACACTCCTTGTGCTATTCCTTCATATAAAATCTGTCAAGAGTGGGCCTAGCCTCCATTTGAGATTTTGTCAAAGCTAAGTTGTTGTAAAATTATGATTTATGATTTCAGAGCAGTTTCTGGTTGCTGAGTATTTTCTACTTAGATACATTGTACTGAAGATTTCTGACCTGTGTTTGGCTTTCTTTTGGAGACTTGGTCATGTGACATTTGATCACATGACATCACTCATGCAAAATGGAATCACATGACAATTTTCCGTGCATGAATTAGATGTCTGCACATTGATGACTTCTCCTGAGTTGTTGGTACCTGCATTTGCGGTAGATGTCTACATAAACAGGAGGATTCTGAACTTTAATTGTACATTCTGTGCATCTCGGGTAACTTTTATTTGTGGGCCAGTTTGCTACAACGTGTATTTTTGCAACAGACAATTACCCTGGCCTTTATGGTCGCAAATATGAGGTGCAGCTAATCGAGATGGGGGAAGAGCGTCCCCACTGGTATTTCAATAGTACTCCACAAACTGGATGGGGAAGGTATTTTTCTGAAAATTTACCTTCCTTTAAAGGCACCTCAACAGTTGTATGTTTCTCTTGGTGGAACCCAAGGTCCTGAGTATCCAGACATTGCCGACAGCATCCAAGTTGCCTGAAAGAGTCCTGTCTTTGTTGCTTTGACTTGATTAGAGGCAGTAACTAAGTTGTGCTCCCAACTGCCAGTTGATCTTTGAATGACATCACATTTAGTCCAGCCACCACCATTTATGTGTGCTGATGTCAAAATGCTTCATCCACTACATGGTGGATGAGATGTAACTACGGAACTTAAAAAGGTACCTTTTTTTAACAATTGTCAGATTACACTAGTTTTGTCTAAATCTCTTAGTGGTAGCTTTATTTATTTATACAGTGCAATCTAAGATCTCGTCATGTATTTGCTAAATATGTTGGACTGTTGCTTTAAAAATCTGATCATGTGATCTCAGGATGACTTCATTGGCTATTTTGGAGGGAAGCAGTTCAGTCTAGCTTGCATCTCATATTATAGGGGTAGTAGGAACTGCAGATGCTGGAGAATCCAAGACAACAAGGTGTAGGGCTGGATGAACACAGCAGGCCAAGCAGCATCCATGATGCTGTTTGGCTTGCTGTGGTCATCCAGCCTTGCACCTTGTTGTCTCATATTATAGGCTCCTTCAGCCTTCTGCTTCCTTGTCCTCCTTGAAAACATGACCCGAAGAAAACTGGTGACAAGGGTAAAAACTGCTTCAGGATCCACTGATTCGTCAAAAAGAATTGAACGAGATTCACGGTCCTCATTGCAGATCTTGAGGGAGCTTCAAAAAAAATCAAAAGACACCAATTGCTGCACCAAAGCAAGTACAGTCAGTGAAAAGGAATTCACCCCAGGGCAGAAGTGAACAATGCAGAAAAAGCTTACAATCTGCTCCACCCTGAAGAAACACTGTGAGAAATGAGTACCCTACAGGGAGGAAAATGTTTTGAGTTGGGGGGTGTAGTCTCAGAAAACAAAAAGACTAAACAGAAACATGAGAGTCCGCTCCTCACTCCCCACCAGCCCCACCACCCCCGGCAACCACAGGAAGTGCTACACCTGCCCCTACACCTCCCCCCTCACCCCCATCCCAGGCCCCAAGAAGACCTTCCACATCAAGCAGATGTTCACCTGCACATCTGCTAATGTGGTATACTGTATCCGCTGTTACCGATGTGGCCTCCTCTTCATCGGGAAAACCAAGCAGAGGCTTGGAGACCACTTTGTGGAACATCTATGCTCGATTTGCGACAAACGACTGCACCTCCCAGTCGTGAACCACTTCAACTCTCCCTCCCACTCCTTGGACGACATGTCCATCCTGGGCCTCCTCCAGTGCCACAACGACGCCACCCGAAGGTTGCAAGAACAGCACCTCATATTTCGCTCAGGAACCCTGCAGCCCAATGGTATCAATGTGGACTTCACAAGCTTCAAAATCTCCCCTCCCTCGACCGCATCCCAACACCAGCCTAGCTCATCCCTGCCTCCCTAACCTGTCCATCCCTCCTCCCACCTATCCACTCCTTCCACCTCAAGCCCCACCCCCACCTCCTACTTACTGGCCTCATCCCGCCTCCTTGACCTATCCGCCCTCCCTGGACTGACCAACCCCCATCCTAACTCCCTACCTACACTCACCTTTACTGGCTCCTTCCCCGCCTCTTTGACTTGTCTGTCTCCTCTCCACCTATCTGCTCCTTTATCCATCTTCCATCCACCTCCCCCTCTCTCTCTATTTATTTCAGAATCCCCTTCCCCTCCCCCATTTCTGAAGAAGGGTCCAGACCCGAAGCGTCAGCTTTCCTGCTCCTCTGATGCTGTTTGGCCTGCTGTGTTCATCCAGCTCTACACCTTGTTGTCTCAGAAACATCTTGTTTTAAATGGGAAGAAGTGAAGTAAAGCGAAGTAGTGCTACATTTTCATGGTACATTGTCCTACCCAGGTACTTCCCATTTACAAAAGCAAAGGGAGAAATTTTGGCTCCACGGAACTGTATGATGAAAATACCGAGAGCTGAAACTCCTACGTGGAAAGAGTCCATTGTTTTGCTCAAGCCAACAAAATTGAAGCAGATGTAGTCATCCTTGTGATCCTGAGTATTGTAGCGGAAATCTCTTAACATCCTGAGGCATCTGGTACAGCCAGAGAAACCGTGTTCCAAAACTTATGAAGAAATAACGGGAATCATTCAGAACTGTTCAAGATTGCTGGAAGGTTCAGATTCCACAAACACAATCAGCAAGTTGATAGAACATAGAACATTACAGCACAGTACAGGCCCTTTGGCCCTCGATGTTGTGCCGACCTGTGAAACCAATCTGAAGCCCATCTAACCTAAATTATTCCATTATCATCCATGATTGCATGTATTTCCCAGTTAGCAGAATTTTATGAACTCTGAGACAACTTAAATAATGCTATCAGAGACAGACTCGCTTATGATTTAAGATGTGAGGATCTCCAGAAGGGTTTACTGGTGGAAAGGAAGCTAGATTTAAAGAAAACACGAGAACTAGCAGCCAAGGCAATTCAGTAGCTAAGCTCAAGTATGAGAGTGGCTGAGAGACAAGCACCAATGCATGGTCAAAACTGCTATCTGAGTGGAAAAACAGGTCACACAGCAGCAAATTTCTGGTATAGTATAGAAACTGGCAAAAGAGGGGCAAATTGAACAGGCATGCTCGAGGAAGAAACATGAACAATGTGCAGTAAAAGTACAGAAACTGAAGAAAATCTACATGATTAGAAAAAGAACTTGAGAAAAGCTCAGTCTCAGTCCAAAGCTGCTATGAACATACTGGCCGTTGTTGGCAATACCAACGGTTAGTGGGTTATTCCCTTACTGAATGGCAAACCAGTAAGAATGGAGGTGGGCACCAGCGTGGTCATACCTGAAAGTGTGTATCAGACTAGCTCAGTTCCGTTTTGCTGCAGCCCTTAAAATTTGTACTAAGAGTGTACAGAGGGATCATACCAGTGTGAATGTTCAGTTATATGCTCATCGAAAAGATTTTTCCTTAAATGTTACCAGAGGAAGGTTTCCAGCTTTATTGGAGAAAATCAAACTCAGCTAGGCTAAAGTAAATTGTTTGTCAGATTCTGAGAATGATGTATCACAAATGGTAAATAAATATGCCATTGTTTTCGATGTGGATCTGGGAAGGATGGAAAAGATCTCTGTCAAATGGAAAGCCAAGGATGAGAGTTGAGCAAAATGTTGTAAGGCTAAATCAGTGCCTTACACAATGGGACCAAAGGTCAAGGCAGAATTAGAGAGGCTGTCAAGACGGGAGTCCTTGAGCACCTAAATGAGAGTGATTGGGCCACATCTATTGTACCAATGATGAAGAGAGATGGATCAGTACACATCTGCAGTGATTTTAAGGTCATGATTACTGAAGAACGGTATTTTGAGCAGTTTCCTTTGCCTTTAATCGATGACCAATTTGCTGGCCCAGCAGAAGGTCATTTTCTAAGTACAGTGAAAATCTCGAGATTGACGTTTATCCTGAGTCACAGAAATACTTGATGATTGTAACACAAAGAATTACATTTGTACCTGCATTGCTCCAACATGCGATGGATCAGATTTTAAGTGGATTGGAAGGAATCCACTATTACCTCAACGATATTTTAGTCATGGGAAGAAATGAAAAACAGCATCTCTGCAATTTTAGTTGCTAACCTGCAGAGACTTGATGGTTATGGCCTTGTAGTGATTGGCCCAGGTTAATAACCCTAGTCAATGAGGTCCACCTGGTCCTAATCAGGAAAGCCTCGACTGACCAATGTAACCAGGAGATTAGAATCTCCTCAGTTGAGGACTGACTCCGAGCTGGCTGGCCACAGCCAGTGTACTGTGCACAAGTAAATAAAGGGTGACTTGGTGATGGGACATTGGCGTCTGTATGATTGTTTCAGGCCTAAAAGTGAGGAAAGACAAATATGAACTTTTTAAATCTTCCATTAAATATTTAGGCCATGTCATTGATACTAGGGAACTACACGATTTATATTCAAAAGTAAAAACCATAACTGAGGCACTAGAGCCTAAAAACTTGGCACACCTTAGGTCC